TGATAATTTCACGAAAAATTAAGACTGAATTTAATTTTCATAGTTGTAAATGGTAAATATTTAAAGACAGTTTGGAAAACTTTTGTTTTAACATGTTTCATCGATGAATCGGCCTCATCAGAAGATGGATTTTATTACAACAAATTTTACATTAGCAAGAAAAAAGTGATTCTTGTTAAGCGACTAAACGCTTAGTTTTTACTTCAAGTCTATCGTCATAGAAATTAGAATAAAACTAATTTCAACTTAGTTTTTATCTTTGTTTGTCTTGTTTTGCTTTGTGTGTGTCGTTTCATCTTAAGTTCCTTTGTAACACCTATCCTGACCCCACTGGATCGATGTACTCTACAAGACCGGCCGTTTGTCCTATCCTGGTCCAGTATTACAGGTTCAATCAAAGTCTACGGTTCACAATGTCGATTCGATTCCACTTTTCAGTCACGTTGGGATTTTTTTGATCCTTGAGAGCAATTAACAAATCGTAGATCCCAGAAGATTCAGATGGTCTACCTGCAAGTTCGGTGGGGTGAGAATCGGGCCAAGCAGAAAACATCAAATATGAACAAGTCGATTCAAGTTCAAAGGAAAATTTATGTATATGTATATAAGGAAGAAATTGGTACAAAAAGAATAATGCTTCTTTTACAAGAAAATATTGTATATGAAATAGTCCAAACAACAACAACAAAAAAAAAAAAAAACTAAAAAAAAAAAAACAAACCAAAAAACAAATATTGCAAATAATTCTGAAAGGAAATAAGTAGTTTTCGGGTTCACCATTTTTGTTCTTAGTAGTTGCCGTAATTATTTCACTATCAGGATATAAGGGGGGCTTACTGGCAGTATTGCACCAATATTGCAGATAACTTGAGTTCACTTCCTCCCTTATTACAGCAGCAAGCGGAGGCTTTCACTCTCACTGCTTATCACTCTCTCTCTCTCTCTCTCTCTCTCTCTCTCTCTCTCTCTCTCTCAGCTTGTCAACTCACTCCACCCAGCTTCAATTCCAACTTCAACTTCGACTGTTTGTTTTCGCACAAACACGCGCTTAAATAAACGCGGTGGTAGCGACAAAAACCCGGGGTGTTGGTAAATTTAGAATAAAACCTGATTACTGACCTCTCCCTCTTCATGATTAAATGAACACTCTCTTCTCCTCAATTGGTATTCCATAGTTCATATAAACACTATTGTTTTGACATTTTATATTAATAATTCTGACGAAGCACAGATTCTCTGGGCACAAACCTCACCACAGATTATTTTTCTCATATCTAAACAAAATTCTATATTACTATAATTATTAATATTTCTAGGGTGACCATTGCTCTCTGTCACACCTTTATTCAAACGTTAAACAGGTTGATTATCTTTCATCCGAAATTCCGAAAACCACCAAAATCCAAAAGAATTTCAAGTGCTGACATAACTTGACACAAATGGAAAATTTCAGAAAGCCCAGCTACGTAGCCTACGTTGCGCCAGTTTTTTGTTAGTGATCGTCAAAGCAATACCTTCGTTCGTGGATTACTTACCAGGTGTTTCGTGCTCAGTAATGATATTATTCAAAATGTCAAAAAGTTCTGTAGTGACCACGTTTTTGTACACGTACAGAAAGTATAACATATTATTTTTACATGAAATCTAAAAAAAATCCGTGTGAGCATTATATAACTAGCGTCATTACCTGTATCTGTACGTACTCAAAATTTATTAAATTTTATATAAAACTACCTTCAGGGTAAATCTATAAGCTGGTTATGCTTAGGTTTCATTTCCAAGTTGCCCCATTTTATAGAGTCTATATATAAACTAAACAGCCTGTATTCCAAAACTCGAAAAGAAAAAAAAAAATCTGATAACCGAAGCACTTCCGGTCCCAAGAATTTCGGATAAATTATTCTCAACCTGTATTTGTTTTACTTGTAATTTCTACATGAAATGAAAACTAATTTAGGGGAGACAATTAAAAATTTATTTAAAGAGTTATTTCCCTTAAAAACAACCCCGTATTTAATAGCAAAATTTTTATTCTTTGTTTTGCAGTGATTTCTTTCTTTAAATGGATAGATTTTTGCTGGATTTAATGTTAATACTTCCGAAATTATTTCTTAAAGTGATTTTCTGACAATTTTAGCGCACATAAAAGTTAGGGAATAAGTTTCGTAAATAAATCAGTTATTTAAAAGATTGAAATTATGTCACAAATTATAAAAGCGAATGACACATTGTTCGACACAAACTTTCAAAGATGCTTTTTTGTTAGTCGTATCAAAATTCTGAGAATCCTATTTGTACATTGGATAAATATATTATATGAAAAAAATTAATGTAATATTCGTTCAGAACGTGTGGGATTACAGCTTGACATATTCCAGTCGTTTATTGTATACAAATTTTCGCATCATGTGAAAGATCTTTTTTCATCATTTCACCCCAAAGAAAGCAATAAAGTCACTAAGAAGGAAGTGGGTTACTGAGTGTGAAAGAATATGAGAAAAAAGAAATATTATTAAGGAGAGAGAACAATAAACGAACAGGAATTACGAAGACAGAAGATAACGATTGATATTGCATTAAAATTTTTGAAGATCAAAGTTGACTGGAAAACAAGAAACTGGACGGGAGACTAGCAATTTCAATTGTAAAATGATGAGACCTTGCCGCAAATCTAGCACAGGTAATTAAATTCATAAAGTCTAGGTAGCATGGTGGGAAGTTCATCAGAACAATTACCTTAAAAATATTTATAGAAAAGGCACGGGAAAACTATTTTACGGTGATGGGAAAGTGACTGAAGCCGAGATGCCAGTTCAAGACAAGATTCTTCTTTGTATTTTATCAAGAATCTTTAAATATATAGCAGAAGCGCCAGATCAGATGTGGTAGCAATATTTAATGCATGGTAGATCTATAAATGTATAAAATCGATTTGTCTAGCACAATTTTTCACTTCACAATTGTAAAAGTCGTTTCCCGTCACCTTCTCTACGGTTTTAAATACAGAGTAATCTTTCTCCTAGTTTGGCTGGCAATCAAGGCTAAAACGTCTCCTCTACTCGGCTATTTAACTCATAGCTGGTTGAGGGAGAAAAGATGCGTTCATGCTTTTTCAAGGGCATTTGTTAAAAAGTGAATCCAACAGTCGATTCCATTTCCCGTACCGATAACAGTTAACTATGGTGATAGCAAGCCGGGTTCAAATTTCAGCTTTTTCTGGAGTGTCCGCAAGGCAGGCATTACTGAAAAAATTGGGTTATATTTTTAATGGAAAAGCATTACTAATATTTTTGCTGTTGAAATGAACTAGAATAATTTTTCAGTAGCCAAGAATGAATGCACGTGTTAAAGAGAACAGCAAGACGTATATATACTTATAATAAACACCTGACCAGTATCAGTTTAAATCACATAAATATCTTTCATTTTTATGACTATGAGAATCAGTTGTGCAACATTAATTCTGATGAGTTGGTAGAATGGCTTAATACATGTAACGATGGTGAGTTAAATGATGAATCCTCCCTAGAACCTGAAGATGACAACGAGAAACATCTGCAACATCATAGCGACGAGATGCATGATTGTGATGAATCCTGGTCTGAAATTGAAAAAGCTATTGAAAAGGTTGTCAGTTTTATGGAAAGAAAGCCAGCATTCAGCTATGACGATTGCAATAACGCACGCAGAGTTTAAAAGCGTCTTTCGTTTAAAAATTTCAAGAACAAAAACAAAACGAAATGCGGAAAAAGTTGAGAACGACATTAGAAGAGAAAGAATCATCATGCAACAGCGATTAAAAAATCCTCATTATATTATTTGTTTTGCATACGTGACATACTTAATTTAATGAATTTTCATGAACATTACATAATTTATTTCTTTTTCTTTAAAATCAATTCCGTTATATTTCACTCACCATTAGCTTATTTTGTTTACTATAAAACATTGAAAATAAATGTTAAATTTGATTTCAGTTCTTTTATTTTAAATATAACTCCTCATATCCGGAAGTCCTTTCTAGTCCGGTTGTCAGGGATTCTACTATATATATATATATATATATATATATATATATATATATATATATATATATATATATATATATGTTAGAACCTTTTTTTTGGTTTTGCATACTAATACAACAGATGGAAAAAATTATTAATGTTCACCCTATACAAGACCCAAGAGTCACTCGAAGTAGAGGGTTGATGAAGAAGTTTTTGTGTGAGCGGTAAGAGTAAGAGGTAAGAGGCACATTTCATGAGGATATATGGGAAAGATAATGGTTGACTCTAGACTAGGACAGGTATTATTGGAATGGTCGGGGAAGCATCCTCTTGGGAGTTCGTCCCACAAAGTATCGACTCATAGAAAGAAGCTGTTCGAATGGCACTCGCTTGTCACTCATGAAATACGAAGGGAATGAAAGTGGTTCATCCCAGTTGAAATTTCTAGGATACATGAGGAGAGAGGGCTTGGAGAATTTGACACTCACAGGGCATATTGAAGTCAAGGGGGACAGAGGGAAATCTAAGAAACTTGAATGGCAGAAGAGGGAACAGGAGATATATCAAAAAAGATATATTCTTTAGAGCTACAAAAGATAGGAAGTTGTGGAGAGCCATGGTTTCCATGTCCTGATAGGATATGACACATGATGAAGAGTTTAAAAAGCGAAGATCTGAATCATGACTTTGGGAAGTGAGTCGGACCGTGCACTTTTTAGCACCCCCTCCCAGGAATTTCTCTTTATTCGTGATGACGATAATGGTCATGGCAGTAGTGTTACACGCCAACGTGTGATTACGTCATCTTGACTGAGATTATCTGTTGGCTCGAATATGGCACATTTGTGTTACATACAAGCGCATTAGCACACACACACGCGCGTGTGAGCATACACACAGGGTTTTTTTTTCATGTACGTGGTCTAATATTTCTGTTGAAGACGTTCCTCGAGGTTTTAAACATATTATTCAAATTTCAACTTCCTCGGTTTATGAAGCAATGAAAAGAAAACAGCGGGAAAGAGAGAAAAGGAGAAAAAAAAAGAGAAAAAATAAAAGAGAGAGAAAGAGATAAAAAGAAGAGACAATGAAAAAAGAAGAAGGAAAGAGCAAAGAAATCAAAGGAAAAGAGAGACAAAGACAAAGGAAGAAAAAAGAAAGGGAAAAGCATGAAAGAAAAGCGAAGAGAATATGACGAGAAAATGACAAATGAACACGAAAGAGAAAAGAAAGAACACAATAGAAAAGAAAGAAGAAAAACGACAAAGAAAGACGATCATATAAAAGGAGAAAACAGAGAAAAGAAAGAGGTAGAAAGAGAAAGAAAAGTACAAACAGATCAGACAGCAAGAAGAGAAAAGGTAAGACAACAAGAATGAGAAAAACTAGAAAAAATGCGAGAAAAATAAGAAAAATAAAGAATATATAAATACATCAGACAAAACAGAGAAAAGACAAGGTATCAAGAAAGAAATAAAGAAAGAACGAAAGAAAGAAATAAAGAAAAATATGCAGACAGGAAAAAAAACAAGGTGTCAGCTATCTCTGAAGGTGTATTGAAAAGTTCTCGATCAATCCACTTTCAAAAATCAGTATTGCAATGACGAAATGTGAGAATACTGATTTAGGAAAGTGGGTTGATTCGAGAATTTTTCAGCTCCCCCTTCATAACAACAACAACAACAATAACCACACACGCACACATACATCACTAATTTTTATTGCAATAAGGGAAAAGAGAAAGTAAAAAGACAGACCCTAAGTTTGTGTGTGTGTGCGAGAGAGAGAGAGAGAGAGAGAGAGAGAGAGAGAGAGAGAGAGAGAGAGAGAGAGAGAGAATGAAAAAAGAAAAAAGTCGATGAGAAAAATGTGAATTATCTCTATTATAATTCTACTTGTTCCTCGCCTCGTTAGATCGCACGACCGCTACGTCCTGCCAATACCTCATAAATAATGGACTATCCCATTTTGATTGCATTGAAAGATGGAAAAGACATATCAGAAATGTTACTTGGTTTCAGTGAGAAAATGAAAGAAAGAAAGAAGGGAAGATAGACGTGTTTAATGCCTCCTTCTGAACACCTCATAAATAATGGGCTATTCTATTTTGATCGTGTAGAAAGACATATCAAAGACGCTACAGAAAGTGTTTAAAGGTCTGTTTCAGTCAAATGGAAAATGTTGCTAATTTCAAATCTTTTCATAATTATTATTTCAATATTTTATACAAGTTGTTAAGCTCAAATATTTAACGATGTAATCGGGGAATTTCTACGGATATGTCATTGTAGAACTCGTCATGAGCTTGCTCAATCATTAACTTAAGAATTAAGATTCATTAGAAAATTCAAATACGAAAACCGTGCCCTCCTTTTGTTAGTCCCTTAGATAGTTCGTACAGTCGTTACGCTTTGCCATTACTATTCTTGAGCTAACGTTTGCGACTGGCATAAAATGGAAAGATTATATTGAATCCATTGCTAGGTCAGATGATAAGAAAGTTGGTTCACAATTTTTCCCTCCAAAATCTATCTTACATATCTATAAGTCTACCATTCATCCATGCTTAGAATATTGCTGCCACATATGATCCGTTGCCCCTGCTATTTATCTAGAGCTCTTTGATAAAATCCAAAGAAGAATCAGCAATATTATTGGTCCTGATCTGGCGACTCGACTTCAGTCATTTTCCCAAACCCTGTCAGGTTGCCTCACTATGTCTTTTCTATACATACTTCGGATGAGTTTTTCGCTCTGGTATTCTTTGAATTTAAGCGCAGTGCTAGACTGGCAACGAGGTCTCATCAATTTACACTTGAGTTAGCTAGATGTAACCGTAAATTCTATGCTAACAGTTTCTTTTCTCGCACTACTCGCCTGTGGATCTCCCTTTTGGCTCCATGCTTTCCAACGAAATTTGATCTTCAGCAATGTCAATCGTTATCTACTGTCCTCCTGAATACTCTTCTTTTCTTCTTGTTCCTTATTAGTATTTTTGTTTTCTAACTCTTCACCACCTAGTAATCCCTTGTGTCTTAGTGGCTTTATTGCTTTGGTGAATTTTTACATTCCATGGAGTTAGGAGACCTAAAAATTATTAATTTCAATGAAAAACAGTAACAGAGAGGAATTTCCATGGGTACACCACTAGTAATAATAAATGCCCTGATTCCCCTTTAAAGCATTGACTCTCATGGGTTTTGAACTTAAAAGATTGCAGGTTTCAACTCTTACATGTTTTATTTTGGTGAATAGGTTGCCTACAATGAATAGGTGACCGGGAAGTAAAACCGTGGATTTTTCCAAGGTTATCTTTAGCAGTATTAAATATCGTAAGAAAGTTCAATATTTGAGAAAAAAAAAAAGAAAAAAATTCTCCCATTCAAGACGTAAGCGGTCATTATTCTCCACAGCTCCCTTTTTTGTAATGTTTGTGATTTGAGATGTCTTTATGGAAAACTTAATGAGATGGTTTTCCGCTTCCTTCTCAGTGATTTTGAATTCTTTTTTATTTTTTTTTTTTTTTACTAAAGTTCACCCAATTAAGTACGAGTTTCAATTTTAGCTCAAGAGCCAATCAATGTAGAGGGTTACTGAATGAGGTGTGTGATATGAGCGTAAAAGGAGAAAGTAGGAAGCGAAGATTATGAGGATACGGAGGGTAGATAATGATTGACTCTAGATTTGAAGATTGTGATGTTCTGTGAAACAGAAACGCGGTTGTCTGTTCCACAAAGTAACGATTCTTAGGAAGACAATTTCTGAGTGGAATTTCTTACTTACAAATGGAATACAAAGAGAATGAGGGTAATTCGACACTGTGGATGTAGCATGGTGCGTCTTAACTGTAAAGAGCTGGTAAAACGATAAAATGAAAGCCGTCAGAACATTTGGCGCAGAAATAGCAATAGGGTACCGATAGACTTGTGTTTTTAAGTCTGTGCGGAAAGGAGCTGTTGGGGGGGGGGGGAGAAATCATCATCCACAAGGCCGCGTAAACAATTCTGAACTCTGTCACGGCTGGAAAGTGTGTATTGAACAGCTTCAGTCGAGATATTTCTTTTAATCATTTCACCCCAAGCAAGACAATAATGACACTAAGATACAATGGGTTGCTGAGAGTGAAAGAGAATGAGAAAGGACAATAGGAGAAAAGGGCTCAGGAAGACAGAAGATGGCGATTGGCGTTGCATTTAATTTTTTTTTTAGATTGTAGGTTATAGGGAATTAAAAAAATTGGAAGGGAGTTTCACAAGCGAGTAGTGCGACAAAAGAAAGCAACAGAACAGACGGTTGCGTCTATCTAGTTCAACAGTAAAACGGTGTGACCTAACTGCCAATCTAGTATTACGCTTAAATTCATGCAGTCGAGGCACCATGAAGGAACGCTCATCAGAACAATTGCCATAAAAATATTTATAGAAAAACAGGGAAGTCAAATAACGTCGGTGAGAAAGTAACTGAAGTCGAGATGCCTGGTCAGGATCTATTACATTACAGACCCCTCTTTGAATTTTGTCAAGAATTTCAAGATATATAATAGGAGAATCAAACCAGATATGGCAGCAATATTCAATGTATGGACGAATGGTAGATTTATTCCTAGCAGGAGAACTGGCGATTGATTCGATATGACTACTCCACTTTATGTGAGTGGAAAAAGTAAGCCGAAGAAGGCAAAAAGTGTTCAACCACTTAGCAACTAGTAATGTGGAATAAGACATATCGTAAAATGTTTGCTTCCTTTTTTACTAATTTTATGTGTTCTAAATCTAATATTAAATCATAGATTCTTCATAGAAAGCCAAGAGAATTAATTTCATTAATATTTTCAACAAAATAATGTAGCATATAGAAAGATTACTTTTTCTTTTTTAAATCATTTCACTCTAAGCAAGGCGATAATTAAGACGCAAGGGATTACTGGGAGTGAAAGAGAATAAGAAGACTTTAGTGAGGAGAAAGGGTAATAAAAGAAAAAGAGTCAGAAAGAAGATGGTGATTAACGTTGCATTTAAATCTTTGAAGATTGTAGTTGGCAGGGAAGCAAGAAATCGAAAGGGATCACCACAGGCGAGAAGTACGAGTAAAGAAACTATCAGAAAAAAGAACATACGGTTGCATCTAACTTGTTCAACATTAAAACGACAGGAACTAATCACACGCTTAAGTTCATGCAATCGAGGCACGAAGGAGGAAAGCTCATCGGAACAATTGCCATGAAAATATTTATAGAAAAGGCAGAGGGAAGCTACGTCACATCGCTGAGAAAGTGATTGTAGGCGAGATGCCAGTTTAGGACCGATTACATTACATATCCTTTTTTTGAATTTAATAAAGAATCTCGAGATATCTAATAGGAGTACTCGGCCAGATATGGCAGCAATATCCAAAGCACTGAATCATGGTAGATTTATAAATATGCAAGATGGATTCTGACACGAAAAATTGTCTGGCACGACACAGGGAACCAGCTTTCATAGCAGTAGTCCTTAGCAAATGATTTAATATAATCACTCCACTTCATGTCAACGGTGGATAAAGGCATTGGTTAGATCCAGTGACTAGACCCAAAGAGTTGTGAATTCAGTACCAGGCTACAACAGTCGTGAACCAAAATATGGAGAGTTGAGTTAAAGGGAAATAACTGAGACATCCAGAAGAGGCACGGCACATGGAACTAGAACAATTTACCCTGGTGGATGAAATAAAGGGTTCGGTTCGAAATTCCAATCACGTGAAGAAGGCCGGAGTGTACAACGGCCGAAACGTTGTGAATATGGCAATGAAGATGAGGATAACAGTCCGAATAATGTAAGTAATCCACGTAGACGTATCTTTCACAAAATGGCAGTTCTTCGAAAAAAAAGTGTTGAACTTTCTTCTTTTATTTGCAACACGAAGGAGACGAGGGTGATTCGACTCCGCGGTAGTAGCATAACGTGTTCTTGCCGTAAAAGTTTGGACTGGTGGAACTAAAGAATGGAGAGCTCATCTGAACATTTAACATGGAAATAGCGATAGCATTGCATCTGCGTCTGTGGGAAAGAGACTTAGGAGTAGAGAATAACTGCGTCATCGATTTTGAACTTTATTAAGGTTGGAAAATGAAGATTGAGCAGCGCCAGCCCAGATATGTCAGCAATGCTCCATTTTTGCTATGATCTTACTTTTGCTAAGATAGAGGAAATGAATAATAAAAAAAACCCGGTTAAACTTTAAAGTGAGGCAAACGATTTTAGTGTTTCTCATTCTCACCAAGTATTTTTTCTTTCTACCCTTAACTTGATGTACGGCTAGTGCAATGGATAGGTGCTCGAAATGAAAAATAGGACAGCCAAAGTTGAATGCCAGTCGAGTTAGTTACATTCGTTTACGCGCAAATACCAATGTGAAATGTATAAATCCACCTCTTTTCTCTGCCCCACAGTATGGGTTAAATAATAGGGCTTGTATCCGGAAAAATCATTGTTATCTCCCACAATCATTAACAAATGCGATCTAAACAAAAAAAAGAATTATTCTTATAATCCCAAATAAGCCTTGGCTTTAAATAATCGACAAGGGGTTGAAAAACCGTAAACAATCAACTACGTTATTTCCTGAATATTTAATAAACAGTTGTTTGAAATAAGGATGCCTTGGGTGGATTTTTCTTCTAAAGTGGAGTAGATCTAAATGCAGGTAGATCTCGTCTATTTGGAAGTGTAAGAAATGAAGGTACTGATTAAATGATAACACAATAATTGAATTTTCATTACATAATATTTTAGTCAATCTAATATTTTTTCAGTTACTTTGGTATGGAAGCGGCCCTGGACGCCTCTCGTATAATACGTGGACCTTACATTCTCCGTCCGTGGCGCGTGAAAGACTGTCTAAATTGCCCTGGGGCAGTTGTTTATATGTCCATCTGTCCATAAATCTCATTTTCACGTTTGCAATACCGGATGCAGGTGGGAGATCACGTACTTCTGCAATTGGTGGCTGGGACTGAACCCAGGTTAACTCTCCTGTGCACCCGACTTTCTTGATGTCCGGTTTGAACTTGTGATCAAGCTTATTTCGACGCACAGGAAGGTTAGAGCAACCCCATGTTCCAACTTCTATTTCCCCTATATATGAATTTTGTGGTTTATGAAGAGAGAAATAGAGAAAAAAAGAAAGAAAAAGATTTTGAAAAGGAGATAGATAGATAGATAGATAGATTTATAAAGGAAGGAAGGATAAAAAAAGAGGCCAAAATTCGGCAAAATCCCAATGAACAGGCATATAGCCATCCGTTTTCAAGTCGGAAAAATTAAAGTTTAAAAAGATTAGTAAATCAAACAAAAAGAAAAGAAAAAAAAAGAGAGAAACGCGCTCGTATGCAACATTTGCATGTAAAAGGAACAAGGAAGAGTTATCGTCCTTGGCAATCAATGCAGGGTCTTTGTTCAGGAAGAAGATCAAAGCTGCAAAAATGACATGAAAAAGGAAATAAAACTCACCAGAAAAAAAAGTAGCAACGACGATACCATAAAACACTGATTCCTTAAAACGCATCCTCATGAGCTAACACGCATGCGCGCGTGCGAGCACACACACACACATATTCATATGACTTTATGTGTGTGAAGAGGAAAATGGATCCAGTCAGCTTTAAAAAATCTGTCTCAAAAAACAAGACTAAAGAGAGGCCAGAAAAAAAACGTTCTAGAGCAGATGAAAGGAACTTGAACAAAGAAGTTAGTGATTAACTAGCAGAAAGAAAAATATATTTCTAATAAATTTTTCCGCTTGGATTTTATGAGTAGAAGACAGAATAAAAAAAAATAATAAATAAAAAACGCTGTGGGAGAAGACTAAAGACTAAAGTAACTCGAAAGTAAACGATCCGACGCCGGCGATAAAATTTCAAGCCTTTTGAGTTTTTGGTCAATTCTGTAGATATTTATTTGTTTACTTTCTAAAAAAAGAAAGACGTAAAACTGCTCTTCATGAAGGGTATATAGAGGAATTTGCAGAGGATTAGTTCCTGGAACCAAAATACTCAAATCCCTTATATAAAATGATGTAACATTTGCATATAACCGACGTACACATTTCCGTATAAACCGTTTCTGGCATATATATTTAACTAGCAGCCATACGCAGC